TCTCTCTCTCTTTTTCTGACAGCATCTTGCTCTGTCATCCAGAATGAAGTGCAGTGGCATGATCATAACTTACTGCAGCCTCCAACTTCTGGCCTCATAGGACCTTCCCACCGCAGCCTCCCAAAGTTCTGGAGTTATAAGCATCAGCCACGATATCCAGCTCTGGAATCCATATTTAAAAGTCAGCTTTATTATATCAGGTCTGAATCTGCCCATTTGCTTTCCTCTTATTGTACTCTGGGTTCCTCCCACTTCTCTGAGTAAGCCTGACAGCTGGACAGGTGGGATATGTCTCATTAGACTCAGAGTTTGCATTTCAATGAGAAGAGGATATAGTAAAGTTTAATGTAATACAAAACACCAACATCAATAATTCCTGCAAATGAGATGATCAGGGAGCAGTACATCCACCATCAGGGCTCTCTGTCTAATCTGTTTTTATTTTTGTCTTTGTCTCATTTTCTTGTGAATGAATAAAAATGACATCACTGTGATTTTCTCATACTGAATCTGAAGACTTATGGCTAGAGTGGGTCTGGCTGAACTTTAAATCTTCCCAATGAGTCCTAGGGAGGGATAGCAGGACTGGAAGATCAACTGGGGCTGAGGAACCCTGTTTGGGTTAGAAATTGAGAATACATCGTTTATGGGACGAGGTTCCAGCTTCCTAGATGAGCGAGCAAAAATTAAATCATCCACGGTAACAGCACGAGATTTACTGTGGAATCGGATATGTTTTGATAGGTCCTCTATTGCTCTGAAGATAGATACGCCCCAGTAATTGGTTAGCTCAGCTGGAAACATCTTAAGAGAAAAGTTCTCCTTGCCTCATGCAGTTCTGAGTAGCAGAAAGATGGTCCCAGTAGGAAAAATGCATCTCTTGACTACACTTTGCACAGGTGTGAACATTACCCGCTGGTGAGTAGTGTCAGGTGAAAATGGCTCTGTTGTCACTGAGCATCCCAGATGGAAGTCTTGAGTCCCTTTCACACTTTGGCTTTTGAAAAATATTTTTCTCTGAAAGAAATTTTATTTTTAATAAATAAAGAGCTATGAGTCATCTTGCTTTAGAACTGGAAGAGAAAATTTACTTCTGCTATAATTAAACAATAATTATTATTCTTTCCTGTGAGGGAGAACTCCAGGAGATAAACAACTCCCAGATAAATAGGGCTTAGAGAACATGTGCCAAGGCTTCTATTGATTCGCAATACATTTATCTCTCTCTTTCTCCCAAATAAAAAAAATAATGATGGTAATTATTTTTAAAAATGATTTCCTTTTTTAATCATTTAAAATTGCTATTTTCCACTCTACTCAAACAGTAATTGCTTTTATGGCCCTGGTATAACTTGTGGAGAGGATGGGGACAGAATGAGCAGTTGAGAAAATCTACTCCCTAGGCAGCAACTTTAAGGCACAAGTTAGTATGAGTTGACCTTGAACGTGGTGTGTAGTAGAGGGCAAGAGGACTTGACCAGCGTATGAAGACCTGGGTTTTGCCACTTCTTACCTGTATGTATATTTGGTGCAAGTCATTTAATTTCTTGGAGGTTTGTTACTCTTTTAACAAATTATTATAATTCTTAATTTATCTACCTCACTGTGTTTATCTTAAATGACATCATTATATATATATATGTAAAAATTTACTGTAAAGCATACAGATTAAGATGAATGGAACTTTGAGATTAAAAGCATTCTACAAAGAGCATGCTGGCCCTATATATTTTCACATTTTCCAGTTTCCTTAAATTGGATGCAAAGCAAACCAATCCTGGAATTACTTCCTGAAGAAATTTGGAAGTGACATTTGTGGAAAAACAAAAAGAGAGAAGGAGTTATCTAAAATTAAAAAGGACTCTTGAAGTTTTTATGGCACATACAGTGCTGCCGGCTATTTCTCAAGTGTGGGGACAGAAAGGAGCTATATCACATTTGGGTAAAAAATGGAGTAAACTCACAAGGCCTTCTTCATTAGGGCATAAGGTCGGATATTGTAGTTATTAAGCAAGTACCTGGAGGGTCAGTCAATCCACAGCTTACTCATTACCTGGGGATAATATTAATATATCTACCTATTATCCTATGAATAAAATGAGATTGTCCAAGGAAAGTACATAGGAAATTGCCTGGCACATAAAATATACTTAATAAATGGTTCATAGGGATGGCTGTATTAATTTTACAGGGTGTACATTTCTGACTTCATAGTATAATTTGAAGAGCATTGAAAACCCTGCAGATCCAAATATTTCCCTTTTCAATGTTTCTCAGTGCTTTCCCCCACTGTTTTCATATTTGAAATTTTCTCATTCTGAGAGAGCTAGGTATGATTTGGCTTCCTGAAGTCAGGTACTGTGCTGCTTTTGCTTACCACTATGTAGCCAGCTCTTCAAGTTGCACTTGGAAAATATTCTTGCTGAGAAGATGTATGTTTGTAACTTTATAGAAGCTGTGATCCATGTGGTCCAATCTTGGAGTGATGCCAGAGTTAAAGAAGTGTCAGGCAGGACGTGGTGGCTCACGCCTGTAATCCCAGCACTTTGGGCTGAGGTGGGCTAATCAAGAGTCAAGAGTTTGAAACCAGCATGGCCAACATGGTGAAACCCCGTCTCTACTAAAAATACCAAAAATCAGCTGACTGTAGTGGCGGGCACCTGTAATCCCAGCTACTTAGGAGGCAGAGGCAGGAGAATCACTTGAACCTGGGAGGCGGATGTTGCAGTGAGTCGAGATCACGCCCCTGCACTCCAGACCAGGTGACAGAGTGAGACTCCATTTCAAAATAAAAAACAAAAAGAAGTGTCTAATTCCAAAATAATGACAAAATAAGAATACATTTATTTACATTTCTTCAACAAATGGAGAAGGATACTGCTATGGACTGAAAGTTGGTGTCACCCTCAAAATGTAAATGTTAAAGCCCTAATGTGATGGTTTGGAGAGATGGGGCCTTTGGGAGGTAATTCGGTAATGAGAGTGAACCCTACTGATGGGATTAGAGTCCCTGTGAGAAAAGGAAGAGAGAAAACCCCCTCTCCCTGCTCTCTGCCATTTGTAAAACAAAAAGATGGTCATCTGCACACCAGGCAGCAGACCCTCACCAGTTATTGGATCTGCCAGCACATTGATTTTGGAATTTGCAGCCTCCAGAAGTCTGAGAATTTAATGTTTGTTTTATAAGCCACCCAGTCTATGGTATTCTGTAGTAGCAACATGAACTGGTTAAGACAGATATAAAGTTTACAAAATACTTCTTAAAATGTTATTTTTTTTTTTCCAATTAGCTTTCCTCACAAAAGATAGCAGCTCTTGGATCTTTTGTGGATTTTTCAAACCAGGCTTTCTTCATTCCTAATCTAGGTCTTTTTCTTTCTAGGTCTCTTTCTTTCCTGTTCTGTACCATAAACCCCTGGAAAAGCTTGCCTGATAAGATAGAATTCTCATTAAAGGGCATGAGAGGTTAAAAAAAAATCTCAGCATAAAGACAAAACTTTCTTTAGTTGGCATTGAGGGAAAACTGGAGACACTTATATGACAATGTATTTTTGTTGATTTTGTTAACTGAACAGTTTTTTAATTAAAAAAATAATTTTTAATTGAAAAAAACCCTAATAAACTCTTCTTGTCATATACCCAGTAGCAACTGACATATGTGAAAAGTACTTGAAAATGAATCATTCACCTTTTTGATAGATTTTTGTCTCTACATGTTGCTTAGATCTTTTATTTTACTTAACATTTGTCCTTTATGTCTTTTCTGCCCAATTAGTTAATAGATTTTTAAGAAAATTAATTTCATGTATAATACCTAGCATGGTATTTTATATACAACAAGTGTTTAGAAATATTTATGGAGATACTTTGAAAGCCCTATCTATAAAACAAATTTTATCTAAGAGGGATTTTATTCTGAGCCAATATAAGCCATGACACTGATACATTATTTTATTACATAAATTCAAGGTGTTTAAGAAGGGATGCTTGAGGCTGAGGACATGGGAAAATAAAAACAAAATAGAGTGAGGCAAGTTGGGGAGTGTGGCTGCGAGTTGAGAGATCACTGGGTTAGGAATTGCCAGGAAGAAGGAAGATAGTGCCAGCAAGGAAAAGAGGGGGCCCCATGAGAGTAACATAAAGTCTTTTAGCTGGTATGACTGTTCCGCACAATTTTCTCCTTCCCTCTTCTTGGTGAGCAGATTATAATTTCCCACTCCACTGGCTTTTTCATATGGTTTACACTGGCCAATGAAATGTGAATAAAAGGGATATGTTTTGCTTCCAGGCAAATCTTGTGGAGACATTAAGGGATTTCTCTATTGGTCTTTTCTCTCTGCTACGAACCTGGCCTGATCCATGTGGGGCCTGCTCCTTTAGGCTTGTCTCAGGAGAAGAAGTAGGGAGCTACCCAGCAAATATTTAATAATGTTAACATTTTAAAAAATAATGTTTTATAGAGAGATATTTGTGCCACGGATCAGTCCCCTGGTTTAAGCCAATTTGTTTTACAGAAATGGAACCATAGACAGGCATAGAATTCTCCAACTTCCAGAGATAATCTGCAACTACCTGCATTGAAAAATATGTAAATAAAAAGATGTCATGAAAATGTTGATTGTGTATCTATAAAGAAAATGATAAATTATGAAAATTTCTTTTGAAGATACTCTACTTCAAGTTATAGAGTATATGGAAAGAACTGTAAATAATTATCTCATGGATTCTGAAATGCAAAGTATTCAAGGCAGTCAATACTTTTGAGGTAATCATGTACTCCCTTTCATTCCTGAACAATTTTGATTTTTAGGGATAATCAAGGAAAACCTCCTGGTTTTGAAGCTGTACAGAGTTTCATAGATATTGGTTATTTTGAGGAAAACATATTTTGTCTTTTGCAAGCAGCCTACACTTGCAAATCATTCCCAGAAACCAGAATAGTAGCTGAGACTGTTGAACTTGCTCTGATGCAATTAGTGGAAGGAGAGTCATTAGTGTAGTCCTAGACACAGACAATTGTCTGGACTTTAACCTGTTGTGGAGGCAGCTTCTGGGTCAGTAGAAGGAACAGTATCAGTCAAGCTAGCCCAAGTGGTCTCTAGCTGTGTCTGTATGAGTGCAGAATTATTATTTTTTCTTTCCCCTCTATAGTAATTATCATTAGATTCTACCAAGAAAGTGTTTTCCCTGGTTTATAATAGCTAATATTTATGAAAGATTTTTCATGGGTCAGCATATGAACTATGATTCCTTTGGTTACAAGTGATAGAAATCCCAACCCAGTTACTCAGGCACAAAGAGAAATTTATTCCATCATGTAATCAAACTCGAGTGTAACAGAGGACTAGCTAGCTTTGAGGATGATTCAGACCAAAGACCCACCAACACTCTCTTCTTCCTCTCCCATCTCCACCTCTCTTTGTATATTGCCATCAATTTTCTTACTGTGTTCTGGCTTCTTCCGCAGACAGTTTGGGGCTCATATCTTTCCAGCTGCGACCAATAATTTCCAGTTTGCCTGAGAGTTAACTAGTTTCAGTGCTGAAAATCCTCCATCCTGAGAAACCCCTCAGTCCTGAGACACCCCTCAGTCCTGAGACAACCTGGACAGATGGTCATCAGAGAGGACAGGGGCTTTTTCCTTATACTGTAGTTCAAATATGATCTAATTTGGTCTTGACTGGTTCCTCTTTTCACCCTTGAGGACCTGTTACTGTGGCTAAGAAGTGAGTTACTATGGTTAAACCAGCTTAGATCAGGTGCTTCCTGGAGGCTCTAATTAGTCATTTATCCATCTTCAAATTTCTTAAGCTTGTTTCGAAGCACTTACCTCCTGGAAGTAAGGGAAGCAGGGTGGGTAACATGATGGCATCTTCCGTTCTAACACTTGTCAAATAACAAGTGCGGGGCAAACCTAACATTCACTGTTGACCAGAGTTCAACAGAAAGCTAAGTGCTGCATCTAATTTAGTCCTTAGCAACCCTGTGCAGGAAGTACTCCCATTATCTCACTTTTACAGATTAGGGAGCTGAGATTTCTTTAAGAGGCAATAAGACAACAGTGAAACCTTAAACATCCTTAATAATTCTTTCTGGCTAGCTGGTTCAGTACTAACTCCTAGTTCGTTGCTGTTTATTTTTGTTTTTAAGATTTTCTCTTACCACTACGTGATGCACTCATCTCTTTCTCCCTTTAACTCCTGCAGCGCTCATTTTGATTTTTAAATTACAGTTTTACTACTCATGTAACTTTTTGCTCAAAAATAGTGTTTCCTCAAGAAGCTTCTATTCTAAGTTCTTCAAGAGCAGATTCTACGTGACCATCTCTTTGATCATTCTGTGAGTGTTCATCTTATGCCCTACATGATAATTCTGGATTTTTTTTTAACCTTGCACCTAGTTTTTTCTCAAGAGTGTCTGTGTGTGTGTGTGTGTGTGTGTGTGTGTGTGTGTGTGTGTGTGTATGCATTTATTATACTTAGAATCTTGTTGGAATTTAGAAACTTTTACATTTAAATGACCTTTATTTTTAGCATCTTTTTTTATTGCTTGGCCTTAGGTGTAGTGACCATTAAATTTATAACCTAAATGTGTGCAGGAATTGCAGAAAAAGTCTGACATGATAATTAAAACAGAATCAGTGCCACTTACTCCGAAGTTAAGTAAATGGGAGGCATAATGTAGACCAGGGATAAAAGCAAGTATAACTTTAGAATGATATTTAAAGGCTACGTGTAAAGGCTTAAGCAAAATGAGAAATCTGGGAAAAGTTTTTATGCTAAATGTTTGCAGAAATTAGAATATTAAAGGAATATTCATTGAAAAGTCACTTGGTAAAATGCTGATTTCCAACCTGCTTACATTTTTTTTAGTGTCCTATAATTTATTTTTAGATGACACGTTTTGTTTTTAAATCAAAAAGCAAGTGTTTTAAAATAGATGTGTGAAATTTGAAGATGAATAAAAAAAATACAGTAAGGATTGTCAATTATAAGCTGTTACTTGAGGCCGGTTACTTCACTTCTCTGAGGCTCAACTTTGTTCCCTGTAAAGTGGCGATGGTGAAGTTGGGCCCAAACAGCCTGGGGTTATATCTTCCCACTTTAACAGCTTTTGGTTTTGTTTTTTATTTTATTTCTATTGCTGGATTCTTACATTCAGTATAACTCGACCAAAATCTTTACAAGAACATTAAGCACTATTTACTGAAGACAAGACATTATAAAACTAGTTGGCATTTTAGACCTTGACTAGATGAAGTTTATTAATTTTATCAAATATGAATTTTAGATAGCCATACCTATAATTCAATTAAAAATGATGTTATATTCAAATTGTCATATAGATGAAGCCTAAAATAGAGGCAAGAATAACAGAAACAGATTCTACAGGTAAGGATAATTTGATAGACTTTTAGGTTTCATGATTCATACTTCCTGCCCATAATTAAAAATTATGGAAATAATTATTATCTTAAAGTCTGAAACCAGATACTTTGTTTTACTCTGTTCAGAGATGCCTATCTATATGCAAGGTGCTCACTTATCTTCTTGGTTTGCTTTTAACCAGGATCTTTCTAAATTTGACATAGGTTTAAGCAAATAGATTAGACAGAGGAATTTCATTCTATCTGGAAAGGTAACTCATGAAATTCAGCACCTTTCGTGAGATATAATTTTAAGCCCTACATAGAACCTAGTGTAGTTCTAGGGTCATGATATATACTTCAATATGGTTGACTCAAAGATAATCCTTTATTCTAATATGTCATACCTTCCCTAGTGTTTGCCACATCCAGAGAAAAATAAAAATGGAAGCTTACATTTCATATATGTAAATGTTTAAAAGTTATATATCAAGCTATTAAGTTGTTAAATCTAATGCATTCTATTTTCTCCATCCATGGCTAATGTACCTTTATAATAACTTGGAATGACAGGTTTGAGTTTAGATACTTGAACACATCCCCCTGGCCTAAGACCACATCCTTTGTCTTCCCACCTATTTCTCTGTTCTGCACTGTGAGAGACCTTATATGGGCATGAGTGAATGCCCCAGATTAAGCTTTACCCATACCATTCCCACAGCCTTCCTGGAACAATCCCTTGGGCCTAACTGCATCGACACCAGTCATTAAATCCACCCTTAATCCACCAGTCCAGGGAAGACGTTCCTGAAGAGGATTCTGGGGAATGTGGGCTCCAGGTAGACACGTCCCCTTGAGTTTTTGTGGAAGGCATGGCTAGAGAAAGGCTCCAGTATGACTGAAGAGGCATCTTTTGCTTGATTCAGTCTCTTCTAGTTATGATACACACTTAATCAACCGTATTAGAGGAATCCACAACAACAATTTATTTCAAGTTTCCTGGGAAGACTCAAGGGCAGGTATGTGTCGGGTGTTGGGACCAAGGACAGAATCTCCCCTTTCTCTTGTTGCTGTGCCGCTGCGCTTTAGTCTGTCTCCCTGCAGGTAGTTTTTCTAGGACCATGTGGTTGGAAATCTGAGCACAGGCTCTTCCTAACTCTATCTGTTTTATTCTGAGCAACCAAAAATATACTTTTCTTTCTTATTCTAAAATTCTACGGCAATGACTTTGCTCTTCTTTGGCCAGGTTGCTTATCCTCAACAAATCCACTATGAATGGCCAGGTGCGGTGGCTCATGCCTGTAATCCCAGCATTTTGTGAGACAGAGGCAGGTGGATCATGAGGTCAGGAGATCAAGGTCATCCTGGCCAGCATGGTGAAACCCCATCTCTTATTAAAATACAAAAATTAGATAGGTGTGGTGGTGCGTGCCTGTAACCCCAGCTACTCGGGAAGCTGAGGTGGGAGAATCGCTTGAACCTGGGAGTTGGAGGTTGCAATGAGTCGAGATCTCGCCACTGCACTCCAACCTGGTGACAGAATAAGATTCCGTCTCAAAAAACAAACAAACCACAAAACACTGTGAACAAGGAAATGGAGTACTGTGACTGGCAGAGAGTTTCATGGCAAATAATACCAAAGAAGTTTCATGAGAAAAAAAATCTCTTGAAAAATAAAATTTAAAAATATGAAAAGTTGATTTTATATTGTAATTGGAAATCTGAGCTAATTCTTGTCAGAAAGACAACCAATATACAACCATTTTGTAAGGTAACAATAACCATCCTTTGCTTTACATTTGGCTTTTCTATCACTCTCAGGGAGAAAGTCCTTTCTGTATAAAATATTTGAGGGCTTTTTCAGATACATCAAAGAGTCCCCTTAATTCTTTGTTATTTAAATTATTCTTTTCTGAAGCACTTGTTCTGTTTTTATCTGTTTCTTCTTCTTTTTTTTGTTGTTAACTAGTTTAACTTTATTCTGATTATTCAAGGGCTTTTTTGTGTGCTAAGCAGTATTCCATGATTACTTTCATAGACCTCAGGAAATCTTGAATCTTCTGCAAAATTTATGATTTCACTTTGTAGTCATTTGCATTCCATATTCATATGTGAATACAGTGCAAATAAATGAGAGACACCTACCAGAGTGGTAGAGCAGGAAGGATGGGTAGGTTGAGGCTGGGTTTAATAAGTGTGACGAGGTGAAAGGATCTATTTGTATAAATAGTTGGCTTATTAGTAAATATTTTCATGTTTTAAATAATTTTTCTTCCCTAAAAATACCATAACTGTGGGAATCAGATAATAAATTTTCAGCAAATGAGGATCCCTGAATAAACACATGACTAAGAGTAGAATTTTTGGGTGGAGGAGGAATTCTAACAGTTTTGGGTATGGCTCTGTCAGTCATCTGTGGTTTTCTTCCATGTAAGAAACTTCTCTCCAGTCTGTAGTTTCCTCCTCTATAAAATGGGGTCAGAAGCCTCCTTCTCATTGTATAATTGGAAGAATTAAAAGGGAAGAAAATTATCTGGAACCAGTGTTTTCTTAGTAAATGGAAGCTATCAGATTGAGAGAGTTTAGAGGGGACAAAAACGTGATACGTTAATTACAATGTATCATGAAAAATACAGTAACGGACTTA